CCATGAGCAGCCAGTTTCTCCAGGAGAATGCTGTGGGAAAACAGTGTAAAAGGGTTTACTAAAGTCTAGGTAGACAACATCCACAGCCTTTCCCTCATCCACTAAGCTGGTCACCTTGTCATAGAAGAAGATCAGGTTGGTCAAGCAGGACCTGCCTGTCATAAACCCATGCTGACTGGGCGTACATGCCATGTGAGGGCACTCAGGAAGGTCTGCTCCATAACCTTCCCTGGCACCGAGGTCAGACTGACAGGCCTATAGTTCCCTGGATCCTCCTCCGTTGTAGGAGGGTGTCACATTTGCTAACCTGCAGTCAACTGGGACCTCCCCGGTTAGCCAGGACTGCTGATAAAGTATTGAAAGTGGTGAACCCTTCTGCCAGCTCCCTCAGTACCCTTGGGTGGATTCCATCCAGACCCATAGACTTGTGAGAGTCTAAGTGGTGTGGCAGGTCACTCACCATTTCCCCTTGGATTATGGGGGCTTCATTCTGCTCCCCAACCCTCCCTTCCAGCTCAGGGGGCTGGGCACCCCAAGAACAACTGGTCTTAAAGACTGAGGCAAAGGCAGCAGTAAGTACCTCAGCCTTTCCCTCGTCACTATGTTTCCCCCCCGCATCCAATAAAGGATGGAGATTCTCCTTAGCCCTTCTTTTGTTAATGTATTTATAGAAACATTTTTTATTATCTTTTACTGCAGTAGCCAGGTTAAGTTCTAGCTGGGCTTTGGCCCTTCTAATTTGCTCCCTGCATAGCCTCACGACATTCTTGTGGCGCTCCTGAGTTGCCTGCCCCTTCTTCCAAAGGTTATAAACTCTCCTTTTTTGCCTGAGTTCCAGCCAAAGCTCTCTGTTCAGCCAGGCCGGTGGTCTTCCCCGCCAGCTCATCTTTTGGCACATGGGGACGGCCTGCTCCTGCGCCTTTAAGACTGCCTTCTTGAAGAATGTCCAGCCTTCCTGGGCTCCTTTGCCCTTCAGGACTGCATCCCAAGGGACTCCGTCAACCAGGCTCCTAAACAGGCCAAGCTCTGCCCTCCAGAAGTCCAAGGCAGCTGTTCCGCTGACCCCCCTCCCTCTCCGAGAATCAAAAACTCTGTCATTTCATGATTGCTGTGGCCAAGGTGGCCTCCAACCATCACATCACCCACAAGTCCTTCTCTGTTCACAAACAACAGGTCCAACGGGGCGCCTGCCCTACTTGGCTCGCTCACCAGCTGCGTCAGGAAGTTCTCTTCCACGCACTCCAGGAACCTCCTATGAGCACATAACGCTCATCTGACCACATGCTCTTTTCCATTTTATGTTTCATGAGAGATATCATGCTAAAAAATCTCATTCCTCATTCAGGAAAAAGAACTACGTAAACCCAGTTTCTTTGCAAGCGTTGCAGTATATTCAATTGAGCATATTATAATAATTCACGGCAGTGGCAATTTTCCACCTACTTTTCCTTGCATGCTTGCAAAACAACAATATTAACTAGGTAAAGGACTACATCACCGGTTTTGAAATTGCAATACCCAGTCAACCTTTACAGAATTGCCAATTTGGAACATTTGTCTTCAAATAACAAAAAGGTTTCTGACTCCACTGAAGATGTAAGGAAAAATAAATGCAACAATATGACACCACAGAAGATAGGGGAGCAATTTGTCTGTTTCTGGTATCAGACATGCTACGCGGTTTTCCAGCAAAAGATGCAGGAGGTACCTTTGTCTGGAATACTAACGGCACTCCATCCGATGAGAGGCTGGGATTGCAGAAACATCTGGCAGTAGCTTTTAAACAAAGAAACAAACAAAAATCTGGGTTTGTTTCTCAGCTTAATATTTAAGTGTTGATTGATATGTGGGCCGAAGTCCTAACATACGACATAGGCACCAATGTGCAAAGTTTCGAGCATTTTTTTTGAAGAGCATAGATAAAATCAGTTTGATCTTTACTTGAAGTCTACCAATAAATTTCTACTTGGATACTGTTTGGGGTCCCTGCCAAGTGTTGCTGAAATCAGTTTTTTTTACGATGAAGAAAATCACATACAGGTTTTTGGCAAATGTTGTTTAACACCATTCTTACATTGAAAGGAGCATCCTGAATAAATAGTTCCACTGCAACCTGATCTACCTAAAACTTCCTTATCATACACATATTTCTTGCAGGACTGAATACTATGCAAGGGTCTAAACTCCACTTAACGGCATTTCTTTTTATCACCTGATCTCTTCCAAAGCTTTAAGAAATAGACAGGTAGTGATAACCAGAATCCTGTTGAATGGGGAGCAGGGGGCATGTTTATTTTTCCATATGCTGTTGTCAGACTAATGTAATCGGAGTTTCGACACCTGCAAATAAAACATAAAACAAGCAGTTTGTAACATCTGTTAATGCCTGCCAGCATCACCGCAACTGAAGAACCTTATGACAATGAAACAGGATAATTTCAGTCAAGAAGATTAACTTAATATTCTCCATTTAGAAGTGTTTTTTTTTTCTTATTCTTTCCACCTTATATATTAAAAAAGTCCTAGTTATTGCTATTCAAGACTGATTTGTAGTTTGTATTGGCAACAAATTTGTAGTACAGCTATTGGCAACATAATCTTTCCTGGTCACAGATCACTAGCGCTAAGCTATAGCATTGCTAATTGTCATATTTGAAGTAACTGGGCAAATTTTCAGTATTTATAATGATATTTAGAGTCTCTCACTCCCGATACAAGTTCTGCCAGAGTGGTAGCGATCTGGTGTCCCATATGAAGCCAGGTAGTGACCATTGTCCAGATCTAAACAACGTCAACACCAATGAACAGCGCACTGCAGCCGTTATATTTGTCTTTCATTTAAACAGTCAAAAATTTCATTGGCATCAGGGCTGCCTTCTGATGTAGCAATAGTTCTTAGGTGTAGCTCCTCTGCATCAAGGTGAAAGCCATCCGCAGAGAGTGCGGGAAGCCTAACTCCTGTTAACTGCTTACAGTGTTCCAAGACAAACAGAAAACATCTGTGTTTTATTAATTTGATACCTTTTACACACAGTGGATAACCTCTACTTTTTCCTAGGGAAAGAACAAAGAAAATTATTTCTTAAACTTCTTTTTTTATGTAATGATAAGATGTTCCTTCCTGTTTCTTTACGCAAGTATTTTGCATTTTGAATATGCATCTTGCATATCTTTTGAATACTCATTGAGTAACTGATGTAAAGGATAGTGATATTTGCTGTTACATTTTTAATAGCATGCACCGGACATTAACCGAGAAAAGTTGTTACGTTTTCCGCAGCGTAAGTCCACAAAGAATTTAAACAGGCAAGAGCCAGGAAACATGAAATTATGACTCTGTCCTTGATTGGTTTAGTGTGGACTTGGTAATGTTAGGTTAATGGTTGGACTGGATGATCTTAAAGGTCTTTTCCAACCTAAACTATTCTATGATTCTATGATTCTAAGAGGCAGAAGAGTCATCGTGTTTGGATTCTATCTAATCAGAGCTAGACTTGTGTCTCAGTGACCACGAGGTGGGGCACTACGTTAACATACTGCGGGTGAAGCTGCTCTAACCGAATTGTTTATTAAGTTAGGAATGTTTTAAAGTAAAATTCGAAGAGATTAAAAACATAGATATATAGTTCTAGTATTTCGTCTTACTTCATGGCCAGGAGCACTAAGCACAACGCTGAATAAGGCATCTAAGAAAAGATTTCATACCCAAACATTTGCAAATTAGATATTAAAAAAAAAAGTTGGCACAGACAGATCTAATAACTCCATAAAAGGAGCAACAACATTCTTAGAAGAATAACAATTCAGCTTATTGCCTTCTCTTCCAGTTCACCCTTGATTGCATTCCCAGAAGCCGTGAGGTTAGACAGTCTTGGACCTCCTCTGTGGTAACAACCCTGTACTCCATACTTTATTCCCTTCCTTTGACCTACAAACGGAAACCAGATTTGGTAGGTAAAGTAAATTTTAATTTATTGGGAACTTGCTAATCTGCATCGTAAAAGCATTTGGAATATCAAGACTGTATCTCATATGTATGCTTAGATTTATAGTTCACAGGGAAACTTATTTTTGAATATAAAATTAAAGCTGAAAGAGATATCACAGCAATAGACCAAGACAGAGAAAACGAGTTGCACTGCTGGTGAATTGAGTAGCAAATACCAGTTTCCCCTCTCAAAGTCTGCAGGTAACATCAGAGAGTGTGTCACTCCCTTGTTAATGCTGGTAGAGCTAGCACAAACAAGGTTGCAGGCTCTTGATAATATCTCCTCAGGATTGCAACAGCACAAACTGTGCCTGAAAGCCTGGTTATCCTGTTGGCTGCTCTTGCTCCTGAAATGGTATGACCAGTCTGGAACAGGCAGGTTCAGACCAGCAGAAATATATACAGATTCAGTTCTCGTGCTTACGTGGACTTTTCAGCTACATGCATATTTATTTAGTCTTTGGCTGACCGACGTTAATTATCTCGTCTAATGGCAAAAAAACATCACTGCTGAAGTGGCAGCTCCTCGGCACTTCACTAACTTTTTCAAGCTGTTCACAAAACTGCACTCTCATGCTAGTTACAACATTTATTTTAAAATATTCCACACACTTAATCAAGTCAGAAGCATTCAGGGTCATCAGATTATAGAACTAAAAGAGATATCTGATCAATAAAGTTTTGTGTTAATGCAAGACTCAAAAGGTTGTGCACTAGACTCCCAGGTTTAGGTCCTACAATTCTTTAAGAGAAATTTTGGTTAAAGCTGGCTTTTTGCTAGAGTTGTTGCATTAAGGAGTCAGTTATCCAAACCTGAGCTTTTTAAAAAAAAGCATTATTTTAGCAGAATTTCGAATTAATATTTTATGGGGTTTTAAATATTTTAATGAAACCTGTAAAAACTTGTGCATTTACAGGATATTTTTCATAATTTAGTAGCATCATATACCTACACCCACAGAGGATATTGGTGAGCAGACCTTTTTTAGCTCTCACTGTGAACCGTATGGCTAATTCTAAAGAGGCTCAGATATATTTGTGATGTTTTGAATGTTTATAGAAGCTGCTGTGAATAGTTTGATCTCCTTGGCTTCAATAGTACTGGTCAGTTCCTATCAGATCAAAAGCTACTCGCTTGCTGGAGTTTTCAGGGCAGTTTAGTGTGCAGAACAACAGAAGTAGCTTTTTGCAGTTCTTGTTTTTCAAGCCTATTCTGAAAACGGGAGATAAAGTTGGGAGGGAGGGAGGGAGATGGCATACTATTCTTTTTACAGTGATTTTAACTTGGGGGGTGGGGAATAGTAGAGGGATGTTTACACAAAGCAGACGTGAGTAACAAATATTTAGGAATCACTTTGCTACACCACTGGTTTTGGTTAAAGTATATACTTTTTTTAACTTCTTATTGCAAAAGAAATTGACTGGAAAACCTCGCTGTGTAGCTTAATATATTACCAAAAGTGTCAACAGAACACATCATAGGAGAAGAGCAGGAAGTTACTAATCTAATTCCATGGTTTCTCTGTTTACAAGAGGAATTTAAAGTGACAGTGGGATTTACACGTAGAATTAGTAGAAAATTAGAATTAATGGAGTTGATAAACTGTGATAAGCTGTCAAAAGCCTAATGCTTTTGAAAAACACTTGTCCTTGTAAAATTAAGGATACAGTTTAGTAAAGCCTTTAAGCCCTTTGTAGTGTTTAAGGGAACCACTGACTCAAAATGCTGTCCAAAAAGTCCTTATCCATGATTAGAGAAGGGCTGGAGGGGAGGGAGTTCCCAAATATTTTTTTGCCGGGTACCATCATCAACTACAATAGCAGCTGGTACTGCAGAAGCACCTCTGGGGTTGTGCCAAATCTTATAGCACTTGAAAGCTGCTTGCATCCTTCTACTTGTATGCATGTCTTAGTTTAAGAATTCTGTAAAATAGTAAGTCAGAGAGCTGTAAAGATTTTAAAACACTTATCATAGGAGAGTGATTCAGGGATTAAAGTGCCTCATGTTGCCAGTGAAAGGATTCTGTGTGGTAAGTGAAGCAACTGGTAATACTGAATTGCCTTTGGAAGAAAATATTTGTGGTGACTTGCAACTCCCCCTACTCTTGGCAAAATGTAATGCTTAGTAGCTTAAAGAACTAGAAAGGGTGGGACAAATGCTGGCGTTTACAGGACTCATCTATAACTTTTGGCACGGAAATCAACACCCAAGTTTAGAAACAAGCACAGTATTACATCATGCTGAGCGCTTTGTAAACAGTAGAGCTTACGGTACTGTACATTTTCAGTCTAGGCAACTGGTTTTGTTTAACTGCAGGAGGGAAAGACACTAAGTCATTTGGACATGAGTGATCTCCAGATCCCTACACTCGCTAATTTATGCTTGTCAGAAACATGTGCATGTTTGAAGGAATGACTGAAGTCTTCTCCAGACACCCAAAAGCTAGAGAAAAGCAGAAATGTTGGAGTTTAAGGAATGCAGGACAAGAGAAGTACTGCAAAGGGAGCCTGAAACCATTAGGTGCACAAAGGCAAGATTTGGAGCAGATAGGCTTAGGTTGGCATAACTAGCCTGTCTGTGGAGCCAAAATAGCTGTTAAGGGGAAACAGCAAACCTAGCTGCACAGGAGTTACTTTATATGTGCTTATTTACATGAGCACTGTGTCCCTTTTGTATCTCACACTGATCCTCTGGCAAAGCTTCTTAGTTTACTTTGCATGAGAAAGCAGTTCCATCTAACCCTTCTTCAAGATAGTGAGTTCAGAAAGAATGGAACAACGTCCAGGAGACCTTTGCTGTCTTGCAGGACTTGACCCACACTTGAAATGGGCCCCCAGAGAGTTTAAGAAATGTGAAAGTTAGCTTAGTTGTTTGGTTTGAGATCATCCCTAAGGGGCCCATTTCTGAGTTATGAACATCTGCGCTCTGCAAGGTAAAGTCCCGTTAGAGATATTAAACCAAGTGTCAAGATTAAGATGTCAGAAGTGGTGATCGGCTTGCGTTCCTGTAGCCAAGAATTATAGAAATATAGGTGTCAGACTGTTTCAGACTGTTCTGCAGGAGCATCTATGCTGCCCGGTTTTTACAACATGTCAACCTTAGAGAGCTTCCTATGCAGAGGCCTACAATTCCAGGAAAGCAAGGCTTGTGCCAGCACACTCTGCCTACACCTTCCTTCTCCCAGAAAGCTTTTAAAACCATTCATCAGTTGCAGCCAGATTTAATATGCAGTCATAGCCTCAAAGACTGCAAATTCCTACCATGAAAACAGGCAGCTGGTCAGAGAAGAGAGACTTTTATTGCCTTCACTGAGTGAAAGGCTGAGAAGAAACATAAAACCAGAATAAGATGTTAGAAGATCTA